ACCCTTAAAGAGAAAAATCAACTTTTGGCTGGGGAAGTTGCACGTAACATGTTGATTTCAAACTAAAGCAGCAGTGGAACATTCTCCGTGAATTGTTCTCAAAACCTGTAAAAAGCACCAGAGGGTCCTGTGGCACCTTTAAGACTAACAGAAGTATTGGGAGCATAAGCTTTCGTGGGTAAGAACCTCACGTCTTCAGAGGCAAGTAATGGCAAAACCTGGTTTCATCAATTTAGCTTTCAAGTATCTTCCCAAAGATGGTGCCAGGGCCACGCTATTATTTTTGGAGTTCAGCTACTGTGTATTAGAGCACTACCCAGAAAAATGTAATTACAGCTACATCAGCATTATGCTGCAGGGGGTGGGAAATTAGTATCTTATGTGATAAGACAGTAAGTTCTAAAAAAAATTTGATTCCATTTGCTCTCTCCCACCCTCAGAATTTGGTTTTGGCTGGTCCTAACGAGGCATTAAGCAAAATTACCCCATTTGGCAAAGGCAGCATCTGTGCACTTTCCTCGGTACTCTGCTAGGGCTCATGTTTTCAAAAACTGCCCCCAGCACTGCTCACTCCAGGTGGAAACCAGCTACTGGTGTCCCACTGTGATCACTGGGCTTCATCTTTCACAGCTTAGAACCCAATCACTGAGCACAATAGCACAGAGCTGTAAGTAATTTTCAACTTATACAGTGCCCCAGTTTCAGAGCCCCCGCTTCTGTAGGGGAACACGCACCATCAGGTTATGCTTTAACATTAGGGCAGAGGGCTAAGACTGAAAAAACAAGGAACATGCCATTTAGAACAAGCACATCCTAGTCGTCACTGGCACGCAGCAGAAAAGCCCCCAAGGTGTGTGCTCAGAGCTTGTTCCCGGACAGCCTAGCTTGGGGACAATGATGGACTCAGCATCAAAGGGCAGGGTTTATTTTACCTCAGTGCGAAAGCTGTTTCTCCCCTCCCCAAGGGGACCACTAATCCACTGGTGCCTCTGGCACTGCTGGCAGAGGGTGAGTGGGGCTGGGAGCCTCCCTTGCTGAACAAATTGTGCTGTGTGAAGAGCACCGCCTACTCCCCTACAGGCTCTGAGACAGGCAGCAGGGCCTTTCAGCATGCTTCACCCCACCACAGGATGTCAGTGTCAGGTTTTCCTGCTACTATGACCCCCTTATGAACAGCAAACACGAGTTAGGTTGGCAACTAGTCCCGTTTCCCTGTGGAGAGCAGATCTCAGCCTCGCAATAATGAGGGGCTACGTTGAGTGAGAAAAGAGGGGCCCTTCCAGGCTCAGGGGAAGTAATCAATGGCTGGGGGGCATATGAGACCTACATGGGAGAGAGGTGATGCCCCTGAATTTTCCAAAATTGGCCTAGACAGAAGGGAGACAAATCTGCATTGGAGGCAGGAGCTAGCCTTCTATCCCCGCCACTCTTGTTTGACAAACGCTGGAGTGGGGTGGGGGAGCCGTTGGGTTGAACAACTCCACTATTACTTATGAGAACCTCCCTAATTGTTTGCTCTTTCCCTCCCCAAAGGGGGTTGGTTTGGAGTAGTTGTAAGCGCCTGCTGGTGATGTCATACTCTGTAATTCTCCAGACTGTGCAGCAGCACCTGGCACCAAAGCACTCCCTCCCCCCACCCCATCCCTGACAATGACTGTGAAATGGCACTGGAAATTATTTCCCCCCATTGCTTTACTGAGACAGCACCAAAGCTTCAAACTAGCTGCTCCATGCCCTGCCTCTGAGCAGCAGGACAAGAAAACAGGAGGCCCCCTCAGAGCAATACATGGAGAAGCACAACTTATGTTAATTGATATAGGTTCTTGTGTGGCACGTGTCACCATAGTATCTCAGGATCTTAGAACCACTGTTTTTCTGTGCACTCCCCCTCTGAGGACAGCAGCTGTGAGCAAAAACAGCCAGCGGCTTCACATAAGTAGAAATGTATTCAAAGAAACGGGACCCAAAGCCCTCAGCCTCGCCGTGATACCGGTACCAGACCAACTCTCTGCACTGTAGCTTGAGCCAGACTGGCACTTTGGGTGTGCACAAATTGTGTAGCTTTGTGCTGGAAGGAGGAAGTATTTTTGTTCTTTTTCAGGAAATCAAAACTTTATTTTGGAGGGAGTAGCGCTTCCTCTTCGCACAGCACCATTTCTTCACCAACGAACCCTCTGCCAACAGTGCCAGAGGCAATGGTGGACTAGCTCTTCCCCCCCTTCTTTGTGGATGGAAAAAAGCGGGAGTGGGGGAGAATTACTATTTAGAGTCTGCTTTGGGCTAGTCTGCTGTGTCTTTTTCTCCTACCCCCCAACCCACCCTACAGTGAGAGAAAAACAGCTTGATCCACAGCTTGTAACTCTTAACACCTTCATTTCAGCTTTGGCAGCAGGACTCCGTGCAGAGAAGTTCTGCATCTAGTTGAATAGCAAGTTTTGCCAATTGCCCAAGCCCCCACCGCTTTTTGAAGTAACCATTTAAATAAAGGGGGAAAAGGAGATGGGGATTATAAATGATAGAAGTGGAACCACAACCCTCACTGACGTTAATAGCATGCAGTCTATGTAACAGTACATACAAAATCCGATTACTTTGGGCCTGGTCTATGCTCATTACATAGCATCATCCCTGGACAATCTACAGAATTCAAAACTGTACAAAATAAAAAATATGCATAAAACCCAACAAGTGTTTTTTACAACATTAGTACTGCATAAAAAAGCATCAAACCAGCAGGAGGTGACCCAGAAACTCCCTCCACAGCAGCTCTGCAGGGTGAACCACCTCGTAAGTGTCACGTTGTCAGCGGGGAGCAAACAAAACACAAGCCCACTTTGGCAGGGAGCTGCCTGCACCATCTTGTCTGCTGGGGAGGGGTCAGGACCTTCTGGCCTCTACACCTCCTCTGCTTTGTGAGCTTGCCACACCAGACATGTTTCCATGGAAACAGCTAGTTTAAGGAATAGTGATTCTGTGCCCAGTCTATGGCACAAGCATATCCAGGACAGGGACACCACTTACAACACCGAGGTCCCAGGCTCAGAAAAAGCACATCTGTTCTGTCGAGTAGATGGGACCATAACCGAGCGCTCTGAGGAGCGGGTGGGGTCCCCATTTACACTACACAATGCAGCCGGGCTTTAGCCGTGTGCATTGGAGCAGATGGGTTCCCCTGGTACTTGCCGTGCAGACATGCCCTTGGGGCTTGTTTACATGAGAAAATGGCCCAGAATAGCTCTTGTACTTTAATTCACATCCTACTTCATTTCCTAACTTCCTGTGTCACCAAGCCTTAGAAACTAACAGTAGCCCCAGCTTGGTGTATGGTAACTGCCTCGCTCTGTCTCACCTGGACACCCCGACAAAGACACTGGGCAATGTTTGTTTTCATCCATTTTGCTACTAGGAGAGACAAAACCCAAAAGGGATTTTTTTTGGTCGGTGTCACCTAATTCATCAAGAATGACCGTGCAATTGCCACCTTCCAGAAGGGCAGCCAGGAGTGAGCAGTGAGATGAGCCTTGTCAGGTGCAGTATGGCCAGGCTTGAAAGCTACGGCTCAATGGAACTATTTTTGCAGCAGACGGATAGAAGGGGTAACTGAGTGGAGAAGCTTCCTGACAAGGACACGACAGCAGCTAGGCTCCAGTGCCAGCTATGAATGAATACTGGGAGGCAGAAAAGCTCCAAGGAGACTTCATATCCAGAGTATAAGGAAGAAATGCACAATTTGTCCATTCCTTTCCCGCCCCCTCAGATTGACGCATCAGCTTAGCAAAGGTCCCATCTAGCCAGTGTTCCTGCTTGCTCTAAATGCACATCGCTGGCAAGATATTGCACGAGATACTGAGTTATGAGACTGGCTTGACTGTGCACATTTTTACTAAGAAGGAAGGAAAACCAGCCTCCAGTTAGTTCTCTCTACTACTCTCCCTGCAAGATTCCATTGTACACACATGCCTTAGCAGACTGCTGCAGCATTATCTAGACTTGAATAAGCTACTGTTGGTACTGGCTGGAATTTCACCTGGGCTCAAATAAAGATAGTTCAGGAAGAAACATGGCTCCCCATTATGGGAGATCAGACTAAATGTACATAGGTTGCCCTCCTCCAGAAGGTGGTCTACAACAGCAGGTCAATCAGTTTGCTGTGTTAATGAACTACGTTAACACTCCTCTTTTGTTTGAAGTTCTTCCTAAACTGGCACAAATGACTGTTCTGAGGTCTTTACGCTCATGTGTGAAGCCAACTCCAGTGGTGGCATTTTCATCTGAGACTGTATTAAAAAGCAACCTACAAATGTATGTGAAACCTTTATAGTGTGAGAGTCACACCTGGCTAGTATAGCTCTGAAAGGTATTTACTATTTTATAAACACTGGAAGGGGCAGGGAAAAGATCTAAAATAACAACCAGTTCGTGCATAGCTTTCCATGGAAAACCAACACATAGGGCAGCCCTTTTTACTTCCACGGAGAGGAGATTTTGGTAATACACCTGCAGAAGACAACTGCTCTTTGTCCTGCCTCTGCACAGGGCGGTCACAGCATATGCTCAGATCTGGAACCAAAGTAAAAAAGAGCCAATTTACAAGACCTGATTGGCTTTTAAAATTACACTGTGCGTAATACTGACATTTAGGATGAATAATCTGTCTCGTGCAAGCATGCACGAATAGATTCAAACCTTAACTCCTAGAGGTAGCCTCAGACTCCCTAGGAACCTATAAACTTAATTTCCCCCATCACCACCACACACTGCATTTGTGTTCAGCTTAACCCCTCCGCACCAGCAGGCTGGGAGCTTATGCCAAAGGGGATAACTTTCTACACCAGTGCATAACACAGATCTAACCTGGGGCAGTCAAAGAACTAAGATTACACAATGGTGAGGTCTTCTGTGCTGCATCCATCTCAATTATCTAAACTGAAAGGTAAGTGAACCCGAGCCAGCTCTGTGAGCCCCCACATCAGTCTACACATGCAGAGCAGTTGCAGAAGCAGAAGTGTTTATGTTAAAGATGTAACGAACCATCTGGAAGTCAGATACAGGAACTGCTTTGTGTAGGAATCCAAATGTTAGCTAGCACACAAGTGTCTTTCCAGCTGCATGGGAGTGTAGAAAAAGTGAGGGATTTCCACTGGCCAGTTACATTAACCCTTTGCACTGGCATCCCGGATGTCCCGGTGCCAGGCACTAATGCCAGAGGTAATAGCACAGGGGCATACAGTATTCCTGAGAAAGATCCCAGATCACGCTTGAATCAGTCTGAATTTTAGTCAAGTATCAGCTACTCAACAAGTTCGTTACATCTCCACTATCTACATCTGAATGGGTCAGCTTATTCAACGTCGGGCACAGCCACTGCTGGCAGCTGGAAGAGCCATTTGTTCAAACAACTCAAATTGCTATTGTTGTATAATGAAAAAAGCAAAAAACAAGAGTGGTTTTGTTACAATTATCCTTCATTCAGTTCACTTGGGTGGGCCCCTAGGGGCTGGTGGAGCGCTGAGGAGTCCTGACAGTTCCTGTGGTGCAAGGTGCAGCTCTGCACCTTGTAGTCTTCACTCAGAGTAGTGCATGATGGACTCCACATAGTTCCCTGGGAAGAGCCCCGTCACTCCATTCATGACACCCTCATACCACCCATCATCGTTCTTCTTAATGACGTAAATGATGGCACCTTCCTGAAATGAGAGCTCGTCCTCCTTGTCTTTTGTGTAGTCATAAATCGCCACCACTAGGAAAGGGAGGAGAGAGAGAAAAAATAAACATTGAATAAGGGAAGGTACTGGTGGGAGAAGGAGAAAATGCAACTACAATGGCCACAGTGTGCAGCACTCTTGTGTTTAAGGCAATCTGGCAAAACTACTTCCCCCACTCATCTGAGGTATCCCAGAATTTGCTTCCCACCCACCCCAAGTCCCTTCCAAACTTCCCAACTGATGCTGGGCTTTTTTCTAATCCTTTTGATTGAACTCTGGCTGTTCTCATCATTGATATAAAAACTCAATGCTTTCTTGAATGCTGATCTTCCAGATCCATCACGATGGATAAACAGAGTAGGATTAGACAAAGTTTGGTTTGGCTCCACACGGGCACAGACACAACTCCCTAAATGCAAAGCTACTAACGCTACCAAGTGCTACCAAACTAATGCCAATTTTTATAGATTAGCAAAATGCAAACTAATGACCTGTCTAAACACAGGCTGGAAAAAGGAACAAAGAGCACTGTAACGAAGTCTGGAAGGGGAAAGGATTCCGGGAGCAATTCTCAACTGTAGTAGGAAAAGAACGTAGGGGAAGTAGGAGCTCTGGGTTTCCATGTAACCTCAATCCCAAATATATCACAGTCTGGGAATGCACAGGTGCAGCCCCAGCTCTGGGACTCATAGTGCCAAGATACATTATCCAGAGAGTTGGGGTCTGCTGAAGTAAATCTAATCAGATGACCCTTTAAAGGAAAACTTAGGCTAGATATTAGAAAAACTTCTTGAAAGATTAAGCTGTGGAATAGTTTTCTTAGGGAAGTGATGGAAGCCAAATCACTTGGGTCAAACCACTGGGAAATATTAAGCAGAGGACTCTCCTGTATTGGAAAGTGAGAGGGTGACCCAATAGATTTTTTCCCACCAGAAAGCAATTTATACATGCCAAAATCTGAATACTGCTTCAGCAAACTGCATCAATCATCACTTTAAGCAGCTGGCATTGGCACACCGAGCACAGGCCTTGAAACAAAATGCATCTTGCACTCCTGACTCTTCACGCTAGCGAATTAACAGAAGTTATCTGACCCAAATCCAGGGGGAAATAATTAACAGCATGAGTTCAGGAGTCAAGTGTCCTGAAGTACTGCAAAATTCATGATGATTTTGCAAACAGAAGATGAAGCTTTTCATTGAAGGAAGTCAGAGACGTTCGGTACAAATGTCTGCTATAGGTACTGGCTTTTTCAGGATGAGAAGCAGAATTCATAACCACAGTGCAATGGAGAGTCAAAATAGCTACCTGGCAAACACTGTTAATATGTGCAACATTGACCTGTAGAATTATGTCATTTGTACAAAGTGCATTTAAAAAAGCATGCATTATAGGCTCTTCTTTACATTCCTCTATTTGTAAATTAATGCATTCTAACCAGTTTTCGGTGTACCATTCTAAGGGAATAAAGCATGAATGGTGAAATGAATAAATATTTATTGTATTTGTTTTTGATCTTGGAAATTTAGCATTGAAAACCATTTTTATTTAATCGGGATACTCTTGTTTGTGTGATACAATACTTGCAAATTCCTATTTAAAAATACATTAAAGTTCCTGGTGGATCTGTTGATCCTAATTTTAAGGTGTTTTTCTCTTAACTAAAATGTTCCTGCCCTATCTAGTACTCAGAAGAGCAAGACGTTTAAGAGAAAAATGTCTTAACTGAGGACCAATAATCCATCTGTTTAGATGGTACCTTCTGATTCCCTACTTTCCTCATGTGCCAGTTTGCACCAGTCCCTTCTGATCATTTGGAATACATTCAGCGTTTCTAGTTTACTAACATACGTTTCCTTGGCATTCCATGATGAAATAATGGAAGTCTGGCTGCTTGATTCTCTTATAAAATGACTTCTTTATAGAAAGAAAAAACTAAATCTGCATTATAGATCTCTTCTTGTAATCTGTTCCTTCTGTGAATTACTTTTGCACTGGGACCTTTTCCTCATTCTCAAAGAATGCTTAATCCTTTTGTCTGCAGTCACACCACTTCAAGCTGTGATCTTGGCAGAGTTCCTAAATTATGCGGAGTCAGGCCAGTATTTCAGCGAGAGCTCCAGATGCTGAAGTAGTAGTATTAGGGATTCAACAGGTGGCAACCTTCCCTCTAACAAGTCTTAGGCAGGGCCTATTTTCAGGTGTAGCTGAACACATTTCAATGCAAAGATTAAAAATACAGTTATCCACTGGGTTGTAATAAGCTGGTTTTTCCAGCTGATGATTTTTGCATAGTTTTTAGACAATTATATATTTGGTTTGTCAGAAATCGTCTGCTGGATTATAACAAACTGACCATAAACCTATCCAAGATTTGCTCCCAGACCCTGGAATTCTGAAAGTGAAATGAGAGGATAAGACCAGATTCCCTTCCTACATGGCATGGAGGAAGATTTCTCCCTTCTAAATATCCATTCTTGACCATTTGCTTTGGTTAAGAATCTTCCTTAGCATGGGCCCCATCCTGTGGCAACACCCCAGCATAAGATTAGATGAGGCACTGTGGTGCTCACGGGATGGGCTTTTGGGAGAGAAAAAAACTGAAGTTCTGACTGCCAGTGGGCATTAAAATCATACGGTGCCCTGCCCAAATTTAACATCCCCAGAACAACTGCACCGTGCCTACTTACATTTCTCCAGCGGTTTAAACTGGATCTGGTATCCACGTCCTCCCCCGAACTATTGTGTAGTATTGCTGTGCAGTATAGAACCCCAAGGTGCCACTTCTAGTCACTTTTCAGAGCAGAACCACACTTTAGAGCAGCCACAATCTATATCCATTGCACTTCCCAACAGCTTTCCTACTTCTACATCCTCAAATTCTGCATACATAAGCTACAGTCATTTGGTCTCTTAGAAGTTCTTTCCTATCAAGTTAAAGTTTAAGAGAACAGACATACCAAAAGCCACACAAAATCATTGGCATGGCTACTGCTAATTGTTGGGGACAACTGAATGTCCACCTTGTCTGTCAAAAAATAGCTTTTCTTCTCTGGATCATGTAGCACAGACAATCCTGTTTATAAGAGCACAAGCCACTGCCATGGAAATAATTATTTTGCAGCAGATAAAGCTTTGTTCGTTCACAGTAGGGTAAATACGTAAGTTCCTCCAGTCTGAAAGTCCCCTTCAGTGTAGAACTTTGGCTTTAGAGCTTGTTTGCCCTGGCATGTTAGAAAAGAAATTTCTCCTCTCCCAACTCCAGTAAAATGTAATAAAATATCTAGAGGTGGCTTTTGTACAGCAACCAAATTATTCATATTCACAGTGGTATCCACCCTTGCCTTCAAGATCTCCTTAAGTTTCTCTTATCTCACTGAGCTATTGTTTAGCTGTTTGCTCATCATACATTGGAAGAACCTCAATTTCTCGTTATTTTCATTTCATCAACCCTTAATCATCTGGTGCCAAGATACAGGATCTGAATTAGATTTTGGCAGGGACCCTGAACTAACACCAGGGAGTTCATTTCCCACCTCATCCTCTTCTATTTTATATATCCAATATAAATCCCTTCCTCCCCCAACATCATTTACCTTGTGAATCCGAAATCAGCACGCTTATTGCCTGCTGGGACATTTACACATACCTTGCTGCTTTCAGATGTTCTCATTCACAGGCCCATAAAAGTCAGAGATGGGGACTGAAGCAGGATCTTGTCCCTTGAGAAGCATTCTTGTTTCAAATTTAAAGTATTTTCTTCTGGACACTTTCACTATGAATACAGGCTTCCCCCCCAAAAACAGCTAATGCTATATTTTGTAGTTTCAAGATTATTCTTTTTTATCAACACAAGATATAAAGGATAGATCAAACACTGGAGGTCTCGTTAATGCAGTAATTGGACCATTTAAAGTTTAGACATCTGTTACTGCACATGAATATTAACATGTTCAAAACAAAATTTTAATGGAATAGACTCCATGTATATGTAGTACAACACGTTGGTGTGATTCACAGCAATTCTTCAACAGGATTGAGCACATTATTGCATGAAAACTACGGATACATGACAAAACCACTTCTGTGGCAATAGTTGTCCTATACACTTAATGAGATACCAGTAGCTTTCGGTGAAGAATTGTAAAAGTTTTAAACAATTTGATCAAGGACACTTCTGTTACCAGTCCCACAAAATCCAACCTCAGCCTCTTTTCCTCCACTGACTACAATCCAATGTATAAATGCATTACTCCTTATAAGCAGTTCACACATCTCAAACTCCAGATTCCCCACTTGTTCCCAAAGCCTCCAAGCAAGAAACAGGGGAATAAGGGCATGATTATGACAAGTAGAAGTTTTGTATGTGAAAGGAACTATTAGGTCAGTGGTTCTCAGACTTTTGTACTGGGAACCCCTTTCAAACAGCAAGCCTTGGAGTGTGACCCTCCCTATACATTAAAAACACTTTTTTAGTATTTTACACTATTATAAATGCTGGAGGCGAAGCAGGATTTTGGGGTGGAGGCTGACACTCCGCAACCCCTCATGTAATAACCCTGTGACCCCCTGAGGGGTCACAACCCCTAGTTTGAGAACCCCTGTATTAGGTGCTTAAGGGCTGAAAGAATGATGAATCAAGACTTCCCTTTCCCTTAGTAAAGTGGGAGGAAAACTCCCTAGCTAAACAGAATGGTTACTCATTTCCTGGGAGTTTGGTTTGTGGGGTTTATTTCACAGGCAGAAAGCTCGCTTTATGAATAGTACAGGGATTGCACTTAACATTTATACCATTCTGAAAGATTCTACTGGTTTGAGACACATTTCCTATACTTCAAATGGGGAACACCATTGGAAGCAGAAATCTCTCAAAACAGAGGACACAGACCACTGTGTCTACTGAACGCTGACTGTACGACTTTGCTGTGTGACCATTCACATTTTAATTTTCAGCACTCAACTGCTTTCTCCTCCCTGCCCCAAGAAGCTGAGACAGTGCATCCAAGACTGCTATCTGAAGCATCCTGATGTCTGA